TTTGATAAAGCATCTTGAGAAAAAGCTACTGAGCTACTGAAGGGAAATAGATGGGACTGTCTCTGCTCCTTTTTCACCAAGACGAGTCCTTCACTTCACCCTGTCTCCACACCACCATGGGATTGGTCCTAGGGCTCTGGGTTCATGTATTGGGTATATATATATATATTTGTGTGTGTGTGTGTGGGTGTATTGGTTCTCATCTTCATTTGCTCACACATGCTTGTCTTCACCTTCCCTCAGGATGAGCATTTCTGCGATTTTGTGGACAATCTCACAGAGTATGAGACCAAGAACATCTTGGCATCCCCCATAATGAATGGAAAGGATGTGGTGGCCGTAATCATGGCTGTGAATAAAGTGGATGGGCCTCACTTCACCAACAGAGATGAAGAGGTAAAGGAACAGTAGAAATCCCTGGGGATACACATACTAGCATTTTCCTCCAGCAAATTAAGGTCCCCTGACCTGTGGTTTGGCCAGGACTCAGTCTGCACATCCGAAAGGCAGCAGGTACTCACTCTGATAGGATCTGAGTAGGATCACCATAGGGCAGAATAATAGTTAACATGTTGGGTTTGAAATTCAAAATGTAGAGAGAGTTGTTCTGACTCGTCAATGTCTAATGGTTCAGCTTGTTGTTGTTGTTGTTGCTATGTACCATCAAATCAGAACTGACCCATAGTGACCCTCCAGTGGGTTTTCAGAGGCAATTAATTGCATGAAAGGAGATTGCCCATCCTTCTCCGGTGGAGCGGCTGGTGGCCTTGAACTGTGTGCCTTTGGCATTATAGCACAGCTTCTTGCCAGTAGAGTTTCCAAGGCCATACATCGTGACAGGAGCAGAATGCCAGCTCCTTCTTCCTCAGATTTACTGCTGAGTTTAGCAGCCAAGTACTTTAGCCACTGAATCCCTAGCAATTTTTATCATTTACCAAAGAAATGAAAAATTCAGTAAATAGCAGTCATTTTTCATACATACACTATCAATGCCAACATTCTTAATTCTCTGAGTTTCGTATTGTTGTGACTCAACATTTTATGATTCTGCACTCTATGATCCATTTACCTAATTGCCTCTGATGGTGTTTTGAAATACTCAGACATCTGATGATGGTGGCAGGAGCCAAAGCATGAATATCTTCATCTCATCTTATGTTCCGCGTGCTGCTTGCTTTTCAGATTCTCCTGAAGTACCTCAATTTTGCAAATTTGATCATGAAGGTGTACCACCTGAGTTACCTGCACAACTGTGAGACTCGGCGTGGCCAGGTAATGGAATGTGCCTTGTAGCTGAAGCATTGAAGCAGCCAGGGCTGGAAAGATGGGTGGAGAAACCTGGCAGCTACACACCATCTCTGCTCTTGCCTCTCTAGAGTTGTGACATAGTGGGCATCCATAAAACCTATGTCTCAGAGCGGTCATGTGCACACATTTTTATGAGAGAAATCTCTTTCTTGAGTTGGAATCCCTGCTTGTTTATTTATTAGCTCTGGCACATCATTTCCCAAGTTGAAAATGAAGAATCATTATGGCACCACCTTAAAAAGATTGCTATCAACAGCAAATGAGGGCATTTGTAGTCAATGAGTTAGTCAATTAATGTCACTTTTATGTTATTATTAACAACCTGTAAGGTAAAGGTAATGAAAAGAATTTAATCTAATACAAGCAGACTGTAACAACCTGTAAGGTAAAGGTAATGAAAAGAATTTAATCTAATACAAGCAGACTGGCTACCTGGTCTCTCTGAGCCTCATTCTCCCCATCTGTAAAATGGGGCTAATGATCTGCCTATGTTAAGTTATTGTAAGGATTAAAGGAGATAAACTCTAGAGAATATTACAGAGTTGTTATTCTTCTCTCATTAAATAAGTTGTGTGCTTTACACTTTTTTTTTTTTAAATTTCTCCAGATCTTGCTGTGGTCTGGGAGCAAAGTCTTTGAAGAGCTTACAGATATTGAGAGACAATTCCACAAAGCCCTGTACACAGTCCGCGCCTTCCTCAACTGTGACAGATACTCTGTGGGCCTCTTAGACATGACCAAGCAGAAGGTGAGATAAAGTCCCGACGAGCATTTTAAAGAAATGGTTATGTGTGCTCTGAATGGGGCCCAGATTCCTGCCACCACTGGATTGCATGGGAAAGAGCTGGGAGAACTTGGGTGGTTATGAAAATTTTACATAAATTTTCCTATTAACTGAAGAGAAGAGGGCCAACTTTACAATCTAGGCAAGATGAGTAGAAACCTATAACCTGTATTTTCCCTGGTTTTGTTGTACACTACTGTGTGGATTTTAACTCAGAATGACCCTATGTGGCAGAAAAGAGATGCCTGTAAGGTCTTATGAGCTAATTTTTCTTTTTAAATATTTTTTAATATGCCAGCAATTTTTCCTGGTAATAAATTAATATTGATAGTTACCAAAAAAGTCCAAGAGAAATGCTTTTGGGCATGTGTACACCCAAGTGTATGCAGAAGGACCTTCCTTGACAGCAATATCAGGTTGTGGTGGATATTTTGTATGTGTGTTGGTTTGGTTTGGTGGGGTTTCTTTAAAAATGCGTATTTATTTACAAAGTTTGAGTACATTGATTTTCACAATATATTTAGTCATTGACGAGTAGTGAGTGGCATATCTTTCACAGTGAATCATGATGAAGATGATTTGCATATCTGAAGATTTCAATTGTCGTTTCAGTTCCTGGAAGCTAAAAGCCTGACAAAGAGAACAGCTTATGAATCACTTGATCTGGGCTCCCAAGTGTGCAGATGAGGGCCTACCAGCCCTGCCTACGGTCACAAAGCCAGTGGGACTGTGCTGGACCATCAGGCAGGTGTGAGGGCCTCAGGGACAGGCAGAGATGACACAGCACCAGCTCACACTGGAAAAGGTTTTGCTTTCTGTCAAAGACTCGAACCTCGAGTGCTCTTTCATAGTTCATAACTTGAGTGACTCAGCTGCCCTGGAGACAAAGTCATTCTCAGTTTACAGCCTCTCAATCAACTGTGAGTGCTGGGGCCATTTCTGCTTTTCTCCTGAGGTGTTTGGATCTGGGCCACGATAGGGGTACCCTCAGAATTTCTGTCTTGGGGTATCTCCTCTTGCTTGAAACTCCATATCAGCAGAAGGAACTAACACGTCATCCACACTCACAAACAAGCCATCACTGTTCGAGTCCATTTGCAGGCAGCTCATCCTAATCACTCATTCACAGTCACCGGCTCAACAGCTCTGGCCGAGCAGCCGCCCGGGCCGTAGGTCAGTATCCTATGCAGTGATGAGATTTCTTAGCACTGCAGAAATGCTCCTTCTGGTATTTCCTGTAATGTGCAAGCATTTCTACAACTTCCTATGATTTACTGCCTCAGTCTAAAGGTGGCAAACCACCATGCTGCTGGCAGACAAAAAATGCTCAGTGGGCGGAAGATGGGCATCTCCTCTCACCCTATTTATGAACTGCCTCTGAAAACCCTCTGGAGGGTTGGCTACAGGTCGGTTCCGACTCCACAGCACATAACAAGTGGGCATGTGAAACTCATTTATGAGTTAAAGAATATAACATCTTGCCAGACAATAATTTTTTGTTTTTACTTTTTAAACCCCAAATAAATTTATATATATAAAGCGATCTTCAGATTCCCATGTGGTTCTAATTTTTGCTACTCTCCACACTGCAGTAGAAGCAGGCTGAAGTCCTGTTTTCATGGACGTCCTGCTTCTCCAGCACTTCTCTGTTAGGTTTCCGTCTGCTTTGGTTGCAGGTTATTGGCTTTCCCACGGGGCGATTTGTTCAGAAACTGGGTTGTGTACCCTAGAGTCAGAATCAACTCAGAGCAGACCCTTTAGAGGGTTTTCAGAGGCAGAATATTGCACAGGAGATTTCACATTCTTCTCCTGAAGAAAAAAAGTGATGGATTTGAACCACATGCCTTTGGGTTGGCAGTGCAACACCTTACCGCTAAGCCAACAGAACTCCTTTTTGTTATTATTATTTAGAAAAGGCCTCCTGTTGTCAAGTTCATCTCAGCAAATGGATGAATTGTTGTAGACCCTTCACCTTTCAGGAGTGGTGAGCCGACACGGTGGAGAGAGGCACGTTCTGCAGCCAGCCTCAAAGACTGGACGTGAACCTGCTGCACAGCACAGTCACTGGTCTTCTCTGAAAAATAGGAGACTGGGGGACCCAACAAAAAAAACCAAACCAAACCCAAAAACCCCACACTAAGAAACTACTTTCCTGACCTGGCAGAATCACACTAAGTGGACGTGTGTCGCTCCTTGTAGAGACCACCAACAAGAGGTCAATGACTTCACTTCAGCTTCCTCTGGGGAACACAGGCACTCACTCTATTTCCTTCTGATTTGGTTGTGTGGTGGCTATGGGCCCACCAGCTGTGGGAAGGAAGGAGATATGGCTTCCAGACTCACAGCCTTAAGACCTCAGGGGACAGGTCACTCTGGCCTACAAGCTCAGCCTGAATTGGAATTGACTTGGTGATGGTGCCTCTGGGTTATCCCAAGCCCTGCCCCGCACATGTGACATCTAATACACAGTGTGCTGAACAGAATGTGGGCCTTTCAGTGATGACAAGGCCGAACAGGGCTAGTCAGTGGAAGGACTGGAAAGGCAGTCCTGCCAAGAGAGCAAGTGTTCCTAAGTTCAGAAGAGGAATGGTGGTGTTACACATCACACGTCACCAGTAGGGTGAATTCTAATAATCCTCGTTACCAAGCCAACAGGATGATGCCTTTTTTGTCAAGGAATACTCATGACCTTGATGTAGGTGATACTGTCATCAGATACTGAAGTAATTAGATGTAAGATACAAGAATGATGAAACAGAAGAAAGCCCTGGTGTCTTTAAAATTCACCATCTTCCTTTAAAGTTCAGGTGGAAAATTAGGAACACTCACAATCCAAAGGTGTGAGCGTGACAAGCAAGGCATGCCATGTCAGGGCAGGTGCCTCCTTTATTAAGAGGAAGGTCGCTGTCTATGTAGGGGTCCACCATAAAGATGCTGTAAGCCACAGAACTCTGTCCCCGGGAAGAAGCTGCAGCTGACCTGTCCATCTGGACTCATTCCCAGGTGTCCATGATTTGGATTTTGTGGGTCTTTGTGAGTATTTAGCTAATTCTGTGTTGTTTGAAGGGGCTGGGACTGTCTCTCCATACATAAACTGATCTTTCTCACAATCACTTTTATAAAGAAAGAGCATTTTGAAAGGTGTTTGACCATTTCTCTTGGAAGGAGGCTGCCATTAATATCAGATGAGATTCCTGATGATGCCAGCCACTCAAGCTGGTCATCCAAGCACTTTACAGCAGAGAATAAGAGATGCACAGAATTACCATTATATGTTAAAAGTATATAAGTTAGCTGCTGATTAGATTAATTGTTCTATTTCTAGAACTTTCTGTGATCACTTTCACCTTTGGTCATAAGCCTGTTTTAGTCTTCCTTGGAAACTTCTTGGTGGTATGTTCGTTGTCTTTATTATCCGTCAGCCTTGTATAAACTATGGCTAGACTTTGAAGAATCCACCACTGACAGACAAGAAGAATCACCAGTGCTGAGAATTATCCCAAGGTGAAGAAATATTTGAAATGAGTGATTCAAAATGAAGGCAGAAAGAGCCATACTTGACTATGACTTTGTACACCATAGTTCTCTCCGGGGCTTTCAGCCTTTTAAAAAGTTTTGAGTTATGTTTTATACAGAAATAAACCTTTGTTTTTAAAAGCAAAAAAAAAAAAAAAAGAGAGAGAGAGAGAGAAAGACAGAGCAGAACATGTAACCATGTCTTCCTCATTCTCCAAATTCTCCTTGGCAATACAAAAGTTGTCATCACACAGGTAGGGGTAGAAATACGACTTTGAGTTTTCATTAAATTGGAAGTCCTCAATCTCCACCTTGTCATGAAACACCACCATTAAGCCCCTAGCCAGCAGAAAAACAGAACTGTAATAGTTAACCTCTAATAACAAGAACAACTATCTTATGGGAGCATATTGTCAAGTTTTTCCCTTAGGAGCTGCTAGGTGGAATCGAACTCTCAATCTTTCACTTAGCAGCTGAGAGCTTAATCACTGTGCCAGCAGAGTGATGTTTCCCCTAGTCAGTTGAAAGAATATATATATGAGAAGGCTGATAAAGAAAAGTGGTAAAGGAATTTCTATATAGGCTGAAAGTCTAGAAAAAGGAAGTTGCCAATTTCAAGAATTATCAGAAAATATACTGAAAGTGTTCTGTTGTACATAGAACAGAACAGAACAGAACACTTTCACAAAGATGCTCACCACTGGACCAATTGGCAGCATCAGGATGGATGGTGAAGAGATTGAGATTGTACACAGCTTTAGTTTGCTTGGCTCTGTAGTCAACAGTCTTGGCACCAGCAGCCAGGAAATTAAAAGGTGCATTGCCATGGGAAAGTCTGCTGTTAGGGACCTCTCCAAAGTACTGAAGAGCAATGGTGTCTCTCTGGAGACTAAGGTGCGTCTGATACAGGCTATGGTCTGCGCAATCACTTGTTATGCATCAGAGAGTTGGACAATGACCAAGTAGGATAGAAGGAGAATTGATGCCTTTGAGCTGTGGTGCTGGAGAAGAGTATTGAGAATACCATGCATGGACTGCTAGGAAAACAAACAGATTTGTCCTGGAAAGGGTTAAACCGGGTAGCTCCTTGGAGGCAAGGATTCTGAGGCTCCGTCTAACATACTTTGGACATGTTGTGAGGAGAGACCGGTCCTTGGAGAGGGACATCATGCTTGGGAGGGTGGAGGGACAGTGCAGGAGAGGAAGGCCCTCTATGAGGTGGAATGATTCAGTGACTGGGATAATTGGGATGGGAGTGTCAGAGACGGTGCGACTGGCACAGGACAGAGTGGAGTTTAGGGCTGTTGTACATAGGGTCGCTATGAGTCCCAAGCGACTCAACGGCACATAACAACAACAACAACATACTGAAAGTTGGATGGAAATTCTTTCCCTATGGCTTGTGTATCCTAGATGACCCAGACAGTTGAAAGGGAGCTAGATGCTTATGTTCGATCTGTCAGAATATGCAAGGGTCATTTGCAGCTCAGGGTGGACCCCAACTATGTCTTCCAAATCAGCTCTCTTCTTGTTTTTTCTTGATCTATCTCAGATTCTTGGAGTTGATCATTCTATGCTTTGGAACTCAGTAATCAGTCTGGATTTATGACCAAAGAACCCAGGACTCAGGCTTCTCTCAGTTCTATTTTGTATCTTTGACCCTGGTATACATGATACACAGACGAAGTTATTGTTGTTGTAAAGTGCCACTGAGTCAGCTCTCACTCAGCGCCCCTGTGTACAACAGAGCAAAACTCTAATTCTGTGCTGTTCTTACAATCTCTCTTGTGCTTAAACCCATTGTTGTAATCTCATCTAGTTGAGGGTCTTCTTTCTTTTTCTTACCTTCCACTTTTCCAAATACAAAGTCTTTCCCCAAGGACTTGTCCCCCAACCCCCGATAACATGACCAAAATACATAAGAAGTCTCATCATCCTTGCCTCTAAGATACATTCTGGCTGCACTACTTCCAGGACAATGTGTTTGTTCTTTTTGATAGTTCATGTTGTTTTTGTTGTTAAGTGCCATCAAGTGGTAGGCAACTCATAGCGATCCTGTGAAGGAGAGTCCTCAACACTTGGGTGTCTTTCATTCTCTCTCCAAGTTCATAGGGTTTCCGGAGGCAAGCTATTATGAAGTGGATGCCACTCCTCCTTCCAAGCTTGTTTTAATCAGGGAGTTTCACCCAACACTGTCCACCATGGATAACCAGTCATTAACGCATTTGACACATCCGTGTCACAGTGTTCAGCCTCACAGCAACCACAAGTGACTGCGGGACGGCAACTTGTACACCAGCAATAGGACCTAGAGGAATGTCTGAACAAAAACAATGAAAGACAGGCCCGGCTCTCGGGCCCTTCAGTGTCTTAAACCCGGCACACCCTGTAAGAGTCAAGATTTGTTATATATATATATATCTGGTCTGGCCGCCATCTTAAGTCCTTTGTCCTTCTTTTTTCCCAGTTCACTTCCTGAAAGGACCTCAGGAACAAAGGAGTGACTCTAACTCCTACTGTATGAACCTTACTCCAGTAAGAGTATGCCAAATGTTCGGGGCCCTTGCTAATGAGCCCGCTCATTTACAAATTAGCCAATTGCCATGCGCGGCCTCCATCTTACCTCACAAGTTCCCCAATCCTCTTGTATCTTCCTGCCCCTCACTCAGTCTTTGCCACTTCCAGCACCAATAAAAACCGTTGTCTCAAAGTGCTGGGGGCTCTGCCACTTGGCCGCTGAGTCTGTTTGTGTCTGTAGAGTCCCTGCTCTAGAGTTTGTAATAAAATCCCTCATGTTCTTGCAATAGATTTCGGCTCCCTGGTGTCCTTTGAGGGACTCGCGATTGTGGCACAACAGCCCAAATACTGGCAAACTCCTTTCCCCAGTCCCCCAGTTCCACTGGCAAGTCTGCGCTGCCTACCCCCACGTGGGCCAAAAGAACACCACACAAGTGCCCTGAGCCCTCAAATCTGCCGTGCCTCTTTGATAGTTCATGTTATATTAAATATTCTTCATTAGCTTGCCAAGTAGACCTCCCAGTTATGTTGAGTGAATAAGCGTATCACTGAACTTGGCAGATTTTAGACCTACCTAAAAGTCTAGGTGGGCTTAGAGGTTTCCAGAGTTGGCAGTACATCAGAATCCTGTGAGAAGCTGCTTTAAAATTGTGAGCTCCATTTATTGAGTTATTGTTGTTAGGTGGCTGTCGAGTCAGTTCCAATCTGTTCGGAGCCTGGGTTTAACAAAACAGAGCATCACTCAGTCATGCACCCTCCCCACAATTGTTGCTGTGCCTGAGCTCATTATTGCAGTCACTGTACCAATCCCAACTCATGGAAAGCTGTGTTTTTTGCTAGCCCTCTACTTTTCCAAGCACGAGGTCCTGCTCCATGGATCACATGCCCAGTACATAAGACAACACTATCAATCATCATTTCTTAAAGGAATGTTCTTTTTGGCTTTCTTGGGCTGAGTTCTCTACAATAGCCAATCCTATTCTCCTTGAGGAAAGTTAATTTTCCTTGAGAATTTTATCTCAAGGCAATGACTCACGCTGGTGGTAGAAGCTGGTAGATACAGTCCAAAGGTCAGACATCAGGATTAAGGATTCTTCTGACTCACTAGTTACGTATCTGTAAGGGCTGAGGGAGTCAAGATCAGCAGGAAATACAACTGGCCACTGGCTCAAGTCGATGACATAAGTATCAGAAACAAGAATAAGTAAAAAAGATTTTCCAGAATGTTTGTACATCCAGAATGCAGGCTGTACTCCCAGGAGAACTCCTTTTTAACAGATTGGCTGCTCATAGTATATCTCATTGTGGTGATGACAGCATATATCAGATCATGACATGGAGGATGACTACATCATTACATTCCTAACACACATCTTAAGTGCCAAACCACTGAGAATCATGGTCCAGCCAAGTTGGCAATTATTTTTTATGTTGCTTTGCATACAAAATTAATATACATTGTGTTTCATCTATATATATTGTCTTTCAAACATTTTTTCATTAACATAATATTTGATATGATCATTCACATACATTATGTTTTGGGAGTTTTTCTCCACATACATTATGTTTTTGACCGTTTGCACTCTTCCTGGATGATACCCTTGATATCCTCCCACAACTCATCTGGCCTTCGTTCATTAGTGTTCAAAGCCTCAAATCTGTTCCTGAGA